TGTCCCCCCCAGTTGGCCGGCTGGCCAACTCCTCCCCGTACCCTGGCCTGTCCCCCCACTGGTGGCCGGCTGGCCACTTCCCCACTGCACACCCAGCCTGCCCCCCCAGCGGCCAGCTGACAGCATCCCACTGGCCTGACCCCGCCGCTGCTGGTCGGCTGACCGCCTGCCCCTGCATCCCCAGAGGTGGAGGAGCTGTGGATCGGCCTGAATGACCTGAAGCTGCAGATGAGCTTCGAGTGGTCTGACGGGAGCCTCGTGAGCTTCACGCACTGGCACCCCTTCGAGCCCAACAACTTCCGAGACAGCCTGGAGGACTGCGTCACCATCTGGGGGCCGGTGAGACCCGCACAGGGCCCACCATGCCTGCCCTCACGGCGCCCCCCAGGCCGGCCTCCGGTCAGCGCCTGCGGGGCTCCAGGGCTCCCTCACCCTCCAGCAGTCCCTGCCCCGTCCCTCGCGCTGGGGAGGGTGTCGGGGTTGGAACCCCTCAGGGCCCAGCTGGCGGTCACCCTGCCAGTCACCGGGAGGAGTCAAGTGCCCGCGTGGTCCCGGGCCAGCTGCCCTCTCCGCCAGCAGGGGGCATCAGAGCCCACATCCTGTGCAGATGGTCACAGGCAGGGCTGCTAGGTAGCCCTCGGCCCAGCCCCGCCCTCCCAGGGGCCTGAATTCTCCAGAAACTGGGGTTGTGACTGCCTGTGGGCCTAGATGCAGCGAGGGCAACTGACGGAATTGACACAGGGCAGAGGTAAGAGAGCCTTAAAAAGGGACAAAGGTTCGAGACCAGCCTGGGCCACTTGGCGAGACCTCGCCTCTTCGACAAAACCACAAAAGCTAACGGTGTGGTGGCATGTGTCTGTGGCTCCAGCGACTTGGAAGGCTGAGGCGGAAGGATCGCCTGAGCCCAGCAGGTGGAGGCTGCGGTGGCCGTGAGCACGCCAGCGCACTCCAGCCTGGGCGACAAGAGTGACTCCAACTCAAAAAAAGCAAAAGCCGAACAAAGGCTGGGTGTAGTGGCTGGCTCCTGTCATCCCAGCACTTTGGGAGGCCGAGGCAGGAGGATTGCTTGACACCAGGAGTACAAGACCAGCCTGGGCAACATAGCGAGACCTCACCGCTACAAAAAATTGCAAGATGTCAGCCAGGCGTGGTAGTGGTGCCCATAGTCACAGCTACTCAGGAGGCTCAGGCAGGAGGATTGCTTGAGCCTAAGAGTTTGAGGCTGCAGTGGGCTACGACTGCACCACTGCATGCCAGCCTGACCCAGAGTCAGACCCTGTCTCTTGAAAAAAAAAAAGTGGGGAGACTGGGCTCAGTGGCTCAGCCTGTAATGACAGCACTTTGGGAGGCCGAGGCAAGTGGATTGCCTGAGCTTGCAAGTTCGAGAACAGCCCGGGCAACTTGGCAAGACTTCGTCTCTACCATAAATCAAAAATCAGCTGGGCGTGGTAGCGCACACCTATGGTTCCAGCTCTTTGGAAGGCTGAGGCGGAAGGATCGCCGGAGCCCAGCAGGTCGACACGGGGGTGGCCATGCGCATGCCACTGCACTCTAGCCTGGGTGACAGAATGAGACTCCAACTCAAAAAAAAGAGGGCAAGGGGAATGAAGCCACAGGGAGCCTGGTGATGTCCCAGTGACAGGACATCATCAGATCCTGCAGACTGTCCGAAGGTCACAGCAGAGCCATTCGCTTTAGAGGGTGCTGTTTAAGAAGCGTAAGATGATCTCACTCTGTCGCCCAGGCTGGAGTGCAGTGGCATGCTCACTGCTCACCGCAGCCTCAGCCTCTCGGGTTCAAGTGATCCTCCTGCCTGAGCCTCCTGAGTTGCTGGGACTCGGGCCCTCGCCACTGCACCCAGTTAATTTTTTGATATTTTGTAGAGACGAGGTCTCGCTGTGTTGCCCAAGCTGGTCTCAAATTCCTGGGCGCAAGCGATCTTCCTGCCTTGTCCTCCCAAAGTGCTAGGACTACAGGCATGAGCCACCACACTCAGCCTTAAAAACAATTGTTTACTGAGTGTCTGCCAGGACCAGGCATGTTGGGGGCACAGGGACACACAAACACGGCTGTCCTCGGGACGGGGCCCAAAGGCAGGCTCGCCGGGGCTGGGGCCTGGAGGCCGTGGAGGCTGAGGCATCTGGGGGGCCCAGGTCTTGACTCCTCTCTGGCCTCATCAGCTGAGGTTCGGGGCTGAGCCCGGCCTGCCGCCCTGGCCAGCAGGCTCCAGCCAGATGTCTGTCCTGCCTGGGCTGCTCCCGTCATCCTAGCCAGCTTGGTTTTGACGCTTGCAGCATGAGCTGTAAATCATGCAAAAGCACGGCTTTCCCATCGAGACGTACCCGTCGACATCTTAGGGCATTTGACGGCAGCCACTGACTTCCTCGATGGGCGGGGCTTGTGGAACTAACCGGCACCCTTCCCCACCATGCACCCACCTCCTGCCGCGTGGCCAGACACAGAGACAGCAGCTCACTGCTCAGGGTCACACAGCCCAGCTGAGCAGGACCGGGCCTAGAAGCCAGGCTCCAGGGAGGGCGTGGGAGGCGGGGGGTAGGGCCTGAGCCGCTCCCCACCCTGTGTGCCCAGGAGGGTCGCTGGAACGACAGTCCCTGTAACCAGTCCTTGCCGTCTATCTGCAAGAAGGCGGGCCAGCTGAGCCCGGGGGCCGCTGAGGACGACCACGGCTGCCGGAAGGTCAGGCTCCCCCCCAGTCGCCTCACCTGGCATCCACCCCTTGGGACCTCTCCCCCAGCTCCGGAAGGAGGGAGATGGGAGGAGGGGTGGGTGGAAGGGAGGAAGTGGAGCCCCCGCCCCCAGCCCTGAGCCCCCTCTGCCAGGAAGCTACTTCTCACGGCAGCAGAGAACTGGGAGCGGGTGGGCTGTTGGCCACCAAGATCCCCGAGACCGGCCAGGTGAGGCGTGGCCCCTGGTGCCTGTTGGGTTCCCCTTCTCTGCCATGTGAGCTGTTGTGTCCCCCGAGAGAGCCAGGCTGCCGGGTGGGACGTGGCTCTTCCATCCAGGGGCTCCTGGCTCCGTGGGCTTCCCAGGTTCTGGGAAGGGTCGTGGAGTGAGAGGTGTGTCGGGGAATGGGAGTGACCCCTACAGGAGCCGGGCAGGGCGAATGGCATGGGAGCTGAGACACAGCTGGGGAGGGACACGCGGTGGCCTCCGGCTCCTGCCGTCAGTCCACTGCTGTTTGGCTGGCTCCTCTCTGCTTCCCTCTGGACAGAGCACCAGCCACACCCCACGCCACTCACACCCCAAAGCCCCAAAACTCCCCCCGGGCGAGCAGGAGATGCCAACAGGCGGACCGGGGAGGGAGGGGGAGCAGCAGGGTGGGGGGCGAGAAGGACGCCCCCTGTGGGCGGGCACAGGGCCAGCGGGGCGCGCGAGAGGCCTGTGGGGGCGGG